CACACACATAAACACTGTTCTGATCACGGGATCAGAAAAATATTCTGATCACAACCTGACCTGCCCTGCTAGTAGTACGTTGAATTTCCGTGTGAACTAGGTTGAACTTCCGCCAATATTGCCCAAATGGGGCTTGCGATATACCGATGGAAAGCTATGGACACCAATATCATGACCCAACTTAATTTTTTGGCAAAATATAAGCGGTTTAAGAGCAGTTTTGAAAACCGTTTTTTCTTCGCACAAAAAACGTGAATCGTATTTTCGATCGCATTTCTAAACGTTTATCGGAATGAGGCATATAATATGGCGTTGGAAAGCTGCTGAAAAACCGCTCCTTCCACATGTTGAAAGTTTTCTCTAATTCCCTATGGTTAAAGAGTAATTTGAAAAAACGTAAAATTTTGTAAACCGAACAGCTGAGTTCGTTTTTTCGATGTCTTTCTAAACGGCTAATCCAATGGAGGTATATGATACAGCGTTGGAAAGCTTATGAAAATGTGCTACTTTTTCATCTTGAAAGTTTTTTTTTTCTAATTTTGAATGGTTTAAGAGTAATTTAGAAAATGGTCCAAGTCCTACCGAGTTCGTATTTTCGAGCTAATTTTTTAACCGTTTGTCCGAATGCAGCAAATGATATGGCGTTGGAAAGCTTGAACAAATGCGAAACTTTTTGGTATGTATTGTTTCTCCCAATTCTCTACGGTTTTAAGTCAGTTTCGGAAATGGCGAAAAACATATTTTCGCCGTAATTTCTACAAACTTTATTGGAATGGGGCAAATAATATACCGCTGAAAAGCTACGGAAAATGTGAAACTTTTTCATGTGATGGTTTTCTCTGATTCGTAGCTGTTTTCAAGTAATTTCGAAAACGGCGGGATCATGCGTTCTGCCTTTATCGCGAAACAGATTCTTCGAAAATGCACCGCGTGAAGAACCTGAACTTCTCGGCGCGTGTACCTGAACTTCACTCTGTTTTTCACGTGATTTTTTTGCTCGTAGGTCTCCATCCACTGCTCGTAACTCTCCATGCACTCACCGGAATTGAGCAAGTGATATACAAGTGGAAAGCTGTTGTAAGCACATAACTTTCCCGTGTTGATCGTTTTTTCATACTCGCGATGGTTTCAAAAGTTTTTCATCTGAAATTCATTCACCGTAGTAGTTGAACTTCATGCTGTTTTCACGTTGAACTTGTGTGACGTATTTTTGTTTGTAATTTTCTCATCCATTCGTTAGTGTTACACAAATGATACTCCTTTTGTACAAACCCCTCTCACAATAATTTTTTTAACTTTCTTTGACCGAGGAGTTGCACTTATAACAACAAAACTTTTAGTCTTTTATTTTTTATTCTCTTTTTAATACAAAATGCACACCGTGTAGTACGTGAACTTCTGGCAGTTATCAATTGAACTTCTCTCGGTTATGTGAAAATGTCTGAGTTTTTCATATATTTTTATCTGAATTTCTTAATACTTTTTTATAAAATTTTGAAGCGCTCAATTTTTAAAAGTTGAACTTCTTGTTTTTTATTTTTGAACTTCTTGTTTCTAATCTTTAATAACGAGGAAAATCTGAGTTTTCTATAATCATTGAACTTCTTCATCTTTTTAACATGGACTTCCTGATTTTATTTCTTTAATCTTTTTATGAAATTTTGAAGCACTCTATTTTTAAAAGTTGAACTTCTTGTTGTTTTATTTTTTAAACTTATTTTTTTCATTCTTTAATAACGAGAAAAAACTAAGTTTTCTATAATCATCGCACTTCCCGTTGTTTTCACTTGAACTTATACCATGTTTTTTTGTTCGTAATTTCTCACCCGTTCATCAGAGTTGCACAAATGATATACCGTGCCGATACCTCTCACATAAGAAGTTTTGAACTTTCCCGTGTCGAGCACCTGAACTTCTAGCAACAATTTTTTTATACTTTAACCTTTTATTCTATTTTTCTCATATGAAAACACACGCCATGCAGTACGTGAATTTCTGACAGTTATGAATTTAAACTTCTCTCTGTTCCACTTTAGTAATGAAAAAAATCTAAGGTTTTAATAGACATCGAACCGCTCTAACTTTTTATTTGAACTTCTTTATGTTTTTTAGAAATGTGAAAATTGGATTTTTTTTAGAAACATCAAGCTTCTTCGTTATTTCGAATAGAGCTTATTAGTTTTATTCTTTAGTAATCGGAAAAAACTGAGTTTTCAAATAAATATCAAACTGCTCTAATTTTTAAAATTGAACTTCTTTGTTTTATTCTTCGGTAACGAGAAAAAACTGAGTTTTTTTATAATCTTTGGACTTCTCTGTTATTCTCATTAGAACTTCTAAGTTTTATTCTTAGGAAACATATGTTTTTTAAATAAGCATCTAACAACTTTTTTTAAAATTAAACTTCGTACTTTTTTTGTATAGATCGAACTACTATCTTATTTTTAAGTTGAAACTTCTAGGTTTTAGTCTTAAATAACTAGAAAAATATAAGTTTTTTATAAATATCAAACTGCTCTATATTATGTAAATTGGACTTTTGATTTTTATTTTACTAACATAAAAATGCTAGTTTTGTAATAAATATTGAACTGGTCCATTTATCTAAATTTTAACTTCTAGCTATTTTAGAAATGGTGAAAATCCATTTTTATAAATTTCAAACTGCTCTATTTTTAAAATTTGAACATCTTGTTTTTTCGTTTTGAACTTCTTATCTCTATTATTTAATAATAAAGAAAAATGGAATTTCGTATAACCATCCAACTGCTCCTTTTAAAAAAATTGGACTTCATGTTTTTATTTGTTTTAGTAACGAAAAAATCATAGTTTTTTCATAAACATCAAGCCACTCTGTTTTATAAATTTGAACTTTGGGGTTTTTTAAAAATGGAGAAAATTCCTTTTTTATAAATTTTTTTTGAGATGCTTTGTTTTTTTAATTTGACCTTCTTTGGGTTTTGTAACGAACATTTAACATTTTTGTCTTTTAAATTTGAACCTCTAGGCTTTTTCTAGAAACGGGAGTGAGCGACCATAACAAAATAAGATGTACCTATGTACTGCTGCCCGATGAATGATTTTTATTCTACGTGCATTTTCTAGGCAGGATGCGTTCTCCCCAAAAAAACAATGTCTTTCGAACTTTCTCGGTGGAAGTCATTGAACTTCTAGATTAATAAAAAAAGCATGCCCTTTATAGTGTGAACCTCTGTTTTATTGAACTCCAATATATCTCTTTCTAGTTTCTACCAAAATGTTTGCATGTTCATCCAAAAAGAAATAAGCTTCTACTCAAATTATATCTATTTTTTCTCCATGATGAATTAGAAGTGCTCAGCGTAGAAGCATTTACATCAGGAAGGGTTGTTAATAAAGACTAAAGAAGATCAACACATTGGACTGGAGTTGTACGAATTACTGCAGTGAACTGTGGTGTGCAAAACATTTCACTTCCTGGGTAGTTTTAGTATATAACTTTTCCACGTAGTAATATATGAACTTCTCCGAACATAATTTTCATTGAGCACTTTTGAACACAGATCATACCATGAAAGAGGTTGAAGATATGAGCACGGATGCATCAACATGTGAGGTAATTTTTTGGAAGCTCCTTTTTAAGAGTGCAATGTCCAAAGAAGTCTCGCATCCATTGAACTTCATAACCTGGAGTTTTCAACTTGCAAAAAATATTAACTCTCAAACATCAACAAAACAACCTCAAGAAGAAGATTTTTTTTCTTTCATAATATCAGTTCTCATTCGGCATTTCAATAAGCATGTACACATCACATAATCAGAACATGTTCTTTGCATTAATTTACAATATGGTGACCATCAGTAGCTGAGATAGAGGTTCCTTTTTTAGGCGAGGCTCCTGAGAAGACCACTGTTGTTGCTTTTTCTTGTGAGCTGCCTTGCCAAAACTCTTTGCTGAACTTTCAAACCTTTTTGTACTGTGTCTATGGTGAAGGTCGGTGAGAGGCACCGAGGAAGCTCAGTGAGAGGCGCCACAACAAGTAATGCTCCAGGGATGGCACTCTGAACTTCAGTCCTCCTCAAACTACATCATCCACTGCTGTAGAATAGGACGAGTTGTTCCTCGTGGTGCTACCACAGAAGCGCATGTGCACAAATAAGTAATGGACACAAGCCACGCTGGCGGTTCTACTCCACTCGCAGCTGAGGAGAAGAATGCATCAGCTCCAGCGAGAGTAAAATAGGTAGGTGAGAACTCATCTATATGCACATATATACAAGAAGAGCATCAACTCCTCTATACAGTAAACCATTTTTTTAATATTCTTGTACCTGAACCTTTCCAACATATTTACGTGAACTTCTTGTGTTAGGCCCAGAGTTTGCAAATCAATAAATTTTGATAAGCAATGTGTATGAATCAATGGATTTTGTACACACATAGCAACACAGAGGGAGGCCTGGGCGGTTGCCAGCCCAGGCCAAAAAAAATATTGCCTTCTGTATGTTAACAGTGGCTGTTAACCCAAAGCCACCTACTGTCACTGCTTTGTTATGCCTCTCACCCTGCGCTCCAGCAGTCACAACTCTCCTCCAAACTTGAATTTGCAGCCACTACTCTTCTGTACTTCTACCGATTAATTTCCTCCAGAACTGTAGCTGCAGCCACTACTCTACTTCTCCCGATTTCATTCCTCAACCATCTTGTCCATGGCAACGCGAGGGGTGCATGGTACAGCAAGCGCATTGGAACGGTTGAGCAGCCACCACAATAGCATGGTCGGCTTGTGACGGAGGCAGCATGGGTTGAGCAGAGGCAGCATGGCGGAGGAAGAAAGGCTCGCTTCAGGAGGCAGAAGCCAGCAACGCGATGATGTTCAGATTAGTTGTGGGTGGAAAGTCAGCGCCAGCTCCAGGGTGGGGTATCCGGCGATGCGGCTAGAAGGCGGGCATCTGGAGGAACAGGTGACGGAGCTCGGGCAGCGGGGCGGGGTGGATGGGTCGCAGCTGCGGGGCTCAAGGCACCAGCGACTGGGGTGGTTGGTGGAGGTGCGGGTGCGTCCCGTTTGACCTCATCGCCGGGGTGCTTGGTGTGGGTGGACCGCGGCGGCGGTGGTGCGCAGCCGATGGCGCAGGAAGGTGGGGGAGAGATGGGGAGAAACGGGAGGTTAGGGACGGCGCGCCAGATGTGGTGGGCCGCGGCATCGCGCGGAGATCCATGGCCCGACGGCGGCTCTGTGGGATCTGGTGACCGGCTGCGGCGCTGAGGAATCCAGGGCGGCGGCGGTGCATGGGGATAGAGCGTGGATGGAGGCCTGTGGTGCGGGACAGGATCGTGGGCATGGGGCGGTGGGTGGGCTGCCTTTTTATCGGGCCGCACCGGCTCGGGAACACCTCGCCACCCCTATATAGTCCGGACGTGATCCAAATAGTTATTTTGATCCTGGGATCATAATAGTGTTGTCCTATATATATATATATATATATATATGAAAATTGGTTAGTACTCTGAGAGTACGTACTCCCATGCCATGCTGTGGCTTCTTGCTTCCATGCGTTGCGCAACGTCCTGAGTTTTGCCATTTAAATCCACTTAGCATATAATTAAAAGGATAATAACCGAATAATATCTGCATGGCAAGACTGTTTGTTTGAAAATTTGTTAGCTCGCCCATGTTAATAGGGATTCTGGCAACTCACTTTGTTTAGCTAGCGTATATGTTGAAACTCTCGGCCAGGCGATGTCTCCTCCAGACATCACGCGCGCCGTCGCTTACCACAGCGCCATCGACGACCATGGAGACGGTGACGGCATGGGCGACGGCGACGGCGACCGCATGGTGATGTCGATGGCAATGCGACGACCACGATGAGATCCTCCTGCCTGCCCTTCGCCTGACCGGCGGGCGACGGCAACAAAAATGATGACTCAGATCGTTGAGGTATCTAACTAATCATAGGCACCACTTTTTACAGGTCCACTTTTTTGCATAATCTCCATGCGTTAGATGTAATTGAATCTCACTGACTAATCGCAGGAAACAGTACAATATATCCATGGCATGGTGACCAAGATGGATGCATGCACGGGCCTTGCTAGCTTCCCGATCGTCTGCACACATCAGTGCCATGCATCAGAACAAAAAAGCAGTATATTCATCCATCTTTGCACTCCAATGTATCAATGTAATCCGATCTAATTTCTACGTGCATGCAGCGTCAGTGTGACAACGATGCCGGCCAAGTGCGACGCCGCAGCCGGCCACGTGCGGCCATGGCGACGCCGAGTACGACGACGGTTCGGACTGGTTTTTGATACTTCGTTCTCGCTGCCGGCGAGCGGGTCAGCAATTCTAGCACACGCCGCATTGCAAATGATGTCAGATTTGATTTAAGAATACATGAATCTATTCGTAGGCATCGATGATGCCTGATACATCCACGGAGTACCATACTGTATGCATGGTAATTGCTAGTACGTATATAGAGTTAGCAGCTTCCTTAGCTAATCGGGTCATGTTTGGTGATGATCAATGTTGTATTTTTTTTTGGAAAATCAATGTTGTATAAGTACCCCTTCAGATGTATATGTACTCTATTTACTTTTTACGAACTCACCTCTATGATGGATGAATATACTGCTTTTTTGTTCTGATGCATGGGTATATTGCCTCTTAATGTTGTATTTGATATACTCCTTTACATGTATATATTCTCATCGGTATATACCCCGGCAAAGATGGAAGCCCGTACTCCTTCAACAACAACAACAAAAATCAAGTATATACATGTTCGAAAGAATATACTCCTTAGAGAGAAGGGTAATATATGCCCGCAAAAAAAATGGTAATATATACTCCTTCAAAAATTGCACTATATATGAATTCCTTCGAAAGGTAGTATATACTTTAAAAAAATGATCAGTATGTACCCCTTACAATGGGCATGATCAAGAAAGTGAAAACCTCCACGTCGTCAAAGAGGTATATACACTACTTTTTTACATGGGCATATAAGCTATGTGTAAGTATATACTACTAGAGTTCAAATCGTGTCTCACTTTCGCAACTAAATGAGATTATCCATTGTGGTAGCATGCACCGGTACCTACAATGTTGGAGGTTGTTTGCGCATGCACCAGAATTTTCCTAATAATTTAATTATATTTTTCCACCGGTGGGGCTTGGATCCATCCATTAGCTAGGTGGGAGTACATACTCCTGGGAGTACAAAAGAGGAGTCCTATTATATATATACAAGACCGTGTTCACTTCCCGGACAAGGTGCGGCAAGAGCTCCAGGTTCTCATGAAGAAACATGAGAGTTTGGAGCTTGACTCGAAGACGCGAGCGTCCGAGCTCGCGGCGGCTATTGAAAATGCCAAGTCTGCCAAGGCCGAATCCCAGAAGACCCTCCAGGAGTTGGATGAGGTGAAGAAAATAGCAGCAGGTAAGGCATTCTTTATGCAAAGTAAACACATAAACGTGAGTTACTTGATACTTACCCGAATCCGGAGCTCTCCAGGGGCATTTGCAGATCTTCCCCGGAGTGTATCCGATGCCGCCGCATTCTATCGAGCCGAGGAGGGCGGCTCGATGGAGAAGGTGTTCTGGTCTCAGTATGCTGAGGCCGGACACCCCGTGCCCCTGAGCGACCAGCTGAAGCAACTGGTCGAGCTCCACAAGGCGGCCGAATAGGCCATGAAGAGCCTCCTAGTTCGGCTGTGGCCTGGAGAGGCTCTGCCTGGGAGCTATTTCATGCTGGTGCGGCGGCTGGTGGAGGCCTGTCCAAGACTCAAAGTCATCAAGCGCTCCGTCTGTATGGAAGGTGCCCGTAGGGCCTTTGCCCATGCTAAGGTGCACTGGGGCAGGCTGGATGCGGAGAAGCTTGTGAAGGACGGGCCACCAGCGGGGAAAGAGCATCGCAAGCCCGAAAATTACTATAAGGATGTTCTGAAGGGTGCCCGCCTTGTGGCGGATGAATGTACTAGGGATGTAATTTTTGAGTAAAACTCGCTCATTTTTGTCCTGTTCGCTGAAAACTTGTTCATATGCACTGAGCAATGATGCTTGAATTTAAAATATTACCTTCTGTGCGGCTGTTTATCAATACTAAGAGATGGCGAGTCGTCGGCTTCTGCCCCCTTGCCACTAGTGCTGGGGTGTTCGGGGATAAATCTGGGTGCTCTTTTTCCCATGTTTGGGTCCTTCGAGGGAGGCGCTCAGCCCGACGAACGAGGCAATCGGACTATAATGCATGAACACTCTCACTTAGCCATAGAATTCTATAATTTTAAATTTCGGCGAAGCCCCTAGTATTCGGAAGACCGAGTTCGGGGCGCTATCCACGCCTTGGACGGACAGAGCCGACTCGTCTCCCTAAGCGGCATAAGTCTTTAGGGACTCGAAAAAAATCTCTCGAACAGCGACCAGCTCTCACTTCATCATGACAGTCAGTTTTAGCTTTCTCCACTAAGGTGCTCGGCCCAGCTCAACTGGGGCATAATCGCAGTGGTTCTCCTAGTGCTACCTTAGCCGATATAGCGGAACGTAAGGCACCAAAACATAGGAGCCGGGTAAACCCAACTATTGACCCAAGACATGATTCAGAGCCGATGCATATAATGCTATAAGTTCGGGGTGCCACACTTGTGAAAGTGTTCGGACTTCTCACACCATATTGAGGGGTCCAAAAGGCCCCTGGCGTATTTTGGCCGTACCAAGTTGTATGGGTGCAACCTGTCATTAAGTAACATTTATTTATAAAAAGATAGTGCAAAAATAGACAAAAGCTATGCATTTTTTTATTAGAAATAGCTGCGATCAAAGCAGAACGATACAAGTAATGCGATAAACAAAAAGTTGGACTATTTAACATGTCTGCTCCAGGGGCAGGCTGCGGAATAGTATGCGAAACAGGTATACTGCTCGTGATAGAGACCACCTGGGATTTCCGTAATGCCGCATGGCTTGTCTGCTTTCCTGGTTCTTGCATCGTTTGTGCGGCAATTGAACTGCCGAACAGGCCTTCCGAAGAGTAGAGTCCTGGAAGTAAGAGAAAAGTAAAAAATCGGCAGCCCCTGGTGTGGTTTAAGCCGTGTTTTGGGCGTGCCGTGATGGTGCCCCTCCCCCTATGCCCATGGTATTTCTAGAGCGTAATTATGTACGCGAAGTACTGGTGTCGCCTTTTTGCTAGGGTTGGGGTTGGGGCCGCATTGCTACGCCTGCTCGAAACGTGCCAAGCGGTCTTGTTGTAGGTTACTCCGGACGCGCCTGACGGTGTTCGAACGTTTAATGGCCGGACTGGAGAACTGCCTGGAGAGGCTGCTTTGTACTTCCGCTGCAAGGGCCGCCGTGTGCTCCTCCGTTCGGATGGAGCGTTCGGTGTTTCCATTGACCATAATTACTCCACGAGGGCCTGGCATCTTGAGCTTAAGGTATGCGTAGTGCAGTACCGCATTGAATTTGGCGAGTGCGGTTTGTCCGAGCAGTGCATGATAGCCACTGCGGAATGGGACTATGTCGAAGACCAATTCCTCGCTTCGGAAATTATCCGGGGATCCGAAGACCACTTCAAGTGTGACTGAGCCTGTACAGTTGGCCTCTACACCTGGTATTATGCCTTTAAAGGTCGTTTTGGTGGGCTTAATCCTCGAGGGATCGATGCCCATTTTTCGCACTGTATCCTGGTAAAGCAGGTTCAGGCTGCCGCCGCCGTCCATGAGGACTCTAGTGAGATGAAATCCGTCAATAATTGGGTCTAGAACCAATGCGGCAAATCTTTCATGACGGATGCTAGTACTCCCAGGAGTATGTACTCCTAGGAGTATGTACTCCCACCTCCATGCACCATCCCATCTTATCCAGACTATTTCATGCTTTTAATAATTAAATTGAATTACGTATGGATAATCACGTGGTAGTTCAAAATCGCTTAAACAGAATCCTTGTTTTTAGGGATAAACAAAACGACACCCCCACTTGCGTGAAAAACCCCATCGTCGTTTGTTACAGCCCAAACGTCGTACGGCTCTCATCAAGCTCCGCCGCCGCCAGCGTCGACGACTGCGAATGATGGTGACAATCGTCGTCCCCGTATATACCCAGCAGGTCTCCGGCATCTAGATCAAGCACTCTCCTTCGGCGCTACTCCACCTGGTAGAATTGGCCAGATCTCAAACTGGGTACGCTGCACTTACGTCCAAGTATCACCATTGTTTTTCCCGTACAGGTAATTAGTGGACGGGAGGTAATTGGAGGAAGGGTATGGAACTATCAAGTTGTGTTCAGGTATATGTACAAGATGATGTAGGTGCGTCAAGCTTTCTTACTGTATTTTTTCTCCAGTTGCTTGTTGTAGGTCACAATAATGAAGTCAGCGGGGCTTCTCAACGAGGAAGAGGAGATGAGGCCAGCCGGCGGCTCAACAAGACGGCTCGACCATGCATGCATGCAGATGTGATGCGTCGCGATGGCTCGACGATGTAGACTAATGCATCCGGCGACGGGTTGACAACATTTTCCGTGACAACAAACAACTCCATCGTAGTTAGCATTTTGGTCGCTCACAGTCAAGTTACTTCATCCATGGTGTGGCCATAGATCCAATTGGACATGGATGTGGCATAGTCGAGCTTTCTTTGCACTAGTCTTCTGCGGACCCAACATGCGCGAACGTGTTGTCAGGGTGCGGAATACGTAAATCAATCTGCATCCAACTATCCAACATGTATATACTTTCTTATGGATAGCACGTACTTCTTTTTGGGTAGCTTATATACTCCTTTGGTCTGTACAAGATATACTTCATGCCAAAAATTTCAAGTATAAAGTCCATAAGGAAACAAGTACGTACATACTCTTAATGTACGTCAATGATGCCTCTTTCACATAATAAATAATGTTCGCTGCAAAAAAAATATACTAAATAATGATGCCTCTTTTTTGGATGCTTGGCACATACCACTTAAATAAAAAAGTATATGCGAAGAAAATGCAGTATATACTACCTATGAAAAATCAGTACATACATACCCATTCATTAAAGATGTACATACTAATTTGGATGTTTAATATATACCACCAAAAAATCTGTATATACTACTTTAAAAAATAGGTGGTATTATATACCTCACATACAACATTTTAAAATATAGTACATACCCCTTTAAAGAGAAGTATATCTCATTTGAGAAAAGAACCATATACTCCTTCCCAACAATCAGTTATCATCTTTGCAAAGGAAAAAAAATCAGATATCAATATATACTGATCAATATTGCATGTTTCATACGAAGGATACTCCACCATAAACATACGGTAGTATATACTATGAGAATAGTAGTATATACTCCATTCAAAAAACAGATATGTATATACTCCTTTGAAACAATCAGTAAGTATGTAGACGTTTTTACATAACCCCATGTCCAGATGCCAATAAATAATTAATTCAAACTTGAATTGCATGGTTCAGTCTAATCTCTTGTTAGCTACGCATGCATGGGGGAGTTCTGGCGGGCTGGTTGTTAGATCTGTTCGGCCACCATTTAAGGAATTGGGTATAATAAAAAAACTAATGGTGGGAGTACATACCCCTGGGAGTATAAAAGAGGAGGGGGGCACCGCCAGAAGACACAACAAAACATTGTTAGCTGTGTGCGGCACCCCCCTCCACAGTTTATGCCTCCGGTCATTTTCACGTAGTGCTTAGGCGAAGCCCTACGTGGATCACTTCACCATCACCACACCGTCGTACTGACAGAACTCTCCCTCGACACTTTACTAGATCAAGAGTTTGAGGAACGTCATCGAGCTCAACATGTGCAGAACTCAAAGGTGTCGTACGTTCGGTGTATGATCGGTCGAAACGAGAAGAAGTTCGACTACATCGATCAACCGCGTTGTCAAACGCTTCTGCTTTCGGTCTACGAGGGTACGTAGACACACTCTCCCCTCTCGTTGCTATGCATCTTCTAGATAGATCTTGCGTGAGCGTAGGAATTTTTTTGAAATTGCATGCTATGTTTCCCAACAAAAGGGAAGGGTTTGGAGAAGGCAAACGCAATGGAGACACGGAGATTTTTGGCGTGGTTCCGATAGGTGGTGCTATCGTACATCCACGTTGATGGAGACTTCAACCCATGAAGGTTAACAGCTGCGCAAGTCCACGGAGGGCTTCACCCATGAAGGGTCCACGAAGAAACAACCTTGTCTATCCCACCATGGCCATCATCCACAAAGGGCTTGCTACACTCGCGTAGATCTTAACGAAGTAGGCGATCTCCTTGCCATTACAAACTTCTTGGTTCAACTCCACATCATGACAGAGGCTCCCAAGTGACACCTAACCAACCTAGGAGACACCACTCTCCAAAAGGTAATAGATGGTGTGTTGATGATGAACTCCTTGCTCTTGTGCTTCAAATGGTAGTCTCCCCAACACTCAACTCTCTCTCTCTCTCTCTCTCATATTTGGCTATGGTGGAAGAGTTATTTGAGTGGAAAGCAACTTGGGGAAGGCTAGAAATCAAGGTTCAAATGGTAGGAATGGTATCTCTTGATCTCAACACATGAGTAGGTGGTTCTCTTTCAGAAAATGAATGGTGGAAGTGTAGGCACGTTCTGATGGCTCTCTCACAAATGGAGAAGGGGGTGGAGGGGTATATGTAGCCTCCACACAAAATCCAACCGTTACACATATTTGACTCATCTTGGTGGGACCGAATGGTTAAACTCGGTGGTACAGATCAGTTCAAAAATGTGAACGTTAGGAATCTCGGTGGGACAGACTGGAACAACTCGGCGGGACCAATGTGCTAGGGCTTAGGGCAAAAATCATCTCGGTGGCGCCGATTGCATCAACTCAGTGAGACCGAAGTGAAGCAATAAGCAACAGAGAATATGTCAAGCCAACTCGATGAGACCGATTGCACAACTCGGTGAGACCGAAGTAAATGCAACAAGTCACAAAGCGCTGGCAAGGCCATCTCGGTGAGATCGAGATCCGTATCAGTGAGACCAAACTGTTATGGTTTCTAGCAACGGCTATGTCATATGAACTCGGTGGCTTCGGATAGAAAGAATCGATGGGGCAGAGTTGGATTTTTGGTTTTGGACATATTTGGATGGAGAAAGTGGCTAAGGGTTTTGGAGCAATATCACTAAGCACTTGAGCAAGTAAGCCATTAAGGAACACCTCATCCCCTTTTAATAGTATTGGCTTTCCTATAGACTCGATGTGATCTTGGATCACTAAAATAAAGATGAAGAGTCTTGAGCTTTTGCCAATCTTTATCCTTAGCATTTTGAGGGGTCCACATCTCTTGTCCATGCCATGCCAATCATTGAACATCCTAAAATATTTATCTTCAATGGATATTAGTTCAATGAGCTATATGTTGAATTACCAAGACCACCCAAGGATTAGTTTCACTTTCAATCTCCCCATTTTTGGTAATTGATGACAACTATAGATCAAAGCTTCGACAAATGATAAAATGAATGAAATACATCGTCGCTTTGAGAAGTATGTGATAAACAAGAGCTCCCCCTAAATTTGTGCATTATTTGAAATTTGCGTTTGAATGCAAATGCACAATCGATTAGGATCATGGGTCACTCTTCCATGTCCCATACATCTTGGTGGAGCTCACAAAATGATATGAGTGAAATAACATGCACTCATCACCAAATACATAAGTGAATGATCATACATCAATAATCATAGAGATATAGGCATGAGTCACACATTAAGCATAGTATGATCAATCACACAACCACACAAAGTATCTCATGAGCATAAAACAATAAGTAGCACCAATCAAACGGGAAAATAGCAACGATAATAAAAACCGGTGAGCAAAAGAACGAGACACTCTCCCTCTCAAAGCCTATGATATATACATTTTCTCCCCCTTTGGCAACAAGTTACCAAAAAGCTTGAAAAAGTATAGTGCTATACGACATTCTAGGCGCGATCTCTGGGAGCTCCTTAAGGGGTCTTCTGGCTTGTTGCTCCGGTGTGCGTAGATGGCGTTGAGAGAACTACTTCTGCAAATGCCTCAGTCGATGTCTGCTGAGCTGGTGGTGTTGATACTGGGCGTGGCATTGTAGGAGTGGCGGCAGGTGCCGAGTGAGTAGTCCTGGTGTCTGCTACGGGCATAGCTGAGGACATGGCTGCCCTTGGCACTGTCTGAAATCTCTCAGTAGTAGTGTCCTCATTGCCATCTTCAGCATCATCTCTCAGCTTCTCCACAATAGATTGTATCTCAGTGACCTTGACATCCATATTGTACATCTTATCATCTACTATCCGCTCTAAGCTCTCCTGGTTCTTGGCTAAGTTGTCTAGACTTTGCTCGATCCTCAGTGTTGCTTATAGCAGATATGTCATTTGGTCTTGCTTTGCCTTGAGATTGGCTATTGGGGGCATTGGGTGCATTGGCTGCCTTTTCTGCTGCTGTTGCCTCAACCTTCTCTTGAGCCTCAACTGAAGTAGGATAGGAAGCATCCATCACCACTTCATCATCTTCAAACTTTGGCCGAAGAGGAAGGTTTTCACTGTCAAGTAGATATGTATTTGTACCAACCTTGGAGTTGATAAGCATCTGAATGTGTGGTGCATATCCACATGACCTCTTCTGTTCAGTATATGTCCTTTTGATTATCTCAACAATCAAGCTCATGACTTTGAATTTCTGTGGGACGTCAAACAAGTGGAGCAAGTTGATGGAGTGGCCACAAATCATTCTCTCATCTCCAGATTTGGGCAATAGAGTGTGCCTCAAAATATAGTTTATGGTGGCCAAACCAGCAAGCAAATAATATATTGATCCAAACTTATGAGTCCCCAAATCCTTGTTAGGAATGGTCTTGTACATATGTGCCATAGTGGTGTGATCCATCCTGGGTTTCCCATAGACATCAACATCATTTTCATCTTCCTCTGTGGCTAATGAGAGCAGACCACTCAGAGATAGATGACTGGTATGTAGTGCCCTCAGTCATCCACACAATTCTGCCATCCGGATAAAAATGTGTTGTGGAGTAGAATTGCATTACCATCTCATCATTCCATTTTGTGATCTTTTGTCCAACAAAAGCATCAATTCCAGTAAGTCTGAAGCTCTCATGAACATGGGGGAAGTAGTCTTCATTTGCATCAATATACTTCCAATCCACCCACTTCATGTTTCTTATGATGGGCTTCTTGTCGAGTAGCACTATCTCATAGAAATCTTGTTGTTCACAGGTATGGAAATGTTGGGGAACGCGGTAATTTCAAAAAAAAATCCTACGCACAAGCAAGATCTATCATGGTGATGCATAGCAATGAAAGGGGAAGAGTGTTTTCCACATACCCTCGTAGACTGTAAGCGGAAGCGTTATGACAACATGGTTGATGTAGTTGTACGTCTTCACGATCCGACCGATCCTAGTACTAGAAGTACGGAACCTCCGCGATCTGCACACGTTCGGCTCAATGACGTCCCACGAACTCTCGATATAACAGAGTGTCGTGGGAGAGCTTCGTCAACACGATGGTGTGATGATGGTGATGATGAAGTTACCGGTGCAGGGCTTCGCCTAAGCACTACGACGATATGACCGAGGTGGATTATGGTGGAGTGGGAACCGCACACGGCTAAGATAGTTGTCTGTTGTGTGTTCTAGGGTGCCCCTTGTCGGTGTCAAAACCGGTGGATCTCGGGTAGGGGGTCCCGAACTGTGCGTCTGAGGTTGATGGTAATCATGAGACAGGGAACACAATGTTTACCCAGGTTTGGGCCCTCTTGATGGAGGTAAAACCCTACATCCTGCTAGATTAATATTGATGAGTATGGGGGTTACAAGAGTTGATCTACCACGAGATCGTAATGGCTAAAACCCTAGAAGACTAGCCTATCTGATTATGATTGTCTAGTCCCTCTACGGACCAACCCCTCTGGTTTATATAGACACCGGAGGGGACTAGGGTTGTACAAAGTCGGTTACATAGAAAGGAAATAATACACCCGACCGGCTACCTTGTCATCCACGCAAAGGAGAGTCCTATCCGGACACGAGAGAAAGCCTTCTATATTGTATCTTCATGGCCCAATTGTCCGACCCATATAAACAGTCCGGACGCCCGAGAACCCCCTTGTCCAGGACTCCCTCAGTAGCCCCTGAACATGGCTTCAATGACGAGGTGTTCGGCATGCAGATTGTCTTCGGCATTGCAACACGGGTTCCTTCTCCGTATACTCCGACGAATATAGTCTTCGAACAACGACCGTGTCCGGATCTGCAAAACAAGTACCACACACCCCCGTAGAGAGTATAATATTTCACGAGTCCCATCTGCTAACAACTTTTTGTAACGTGATATCACGTCCCTGCCCGATTATTATTTTGAACCGTTTTTTGTCCTGCCGCTTCGTATTTCGAGATGCGGTTTTATTGGCACGTCTTGTCAAAGCACATATCGTGTCCCCTTATTGTGGGGTCCTCATCAATACAGTTATGGGTAATCCAATCATGCCGCCTGCACGACCCCTAGGGAATAGGCGAGTTTCATGGCGAGTGGGGAGACGTTTGATATTCATCGTCTTTATAAGGAGATAAGGATTCATCTCTTCCACCCACGCCTTCTCTCCTTCCGCCTACCCACTCTTGAGCTCTAGTGCCCAAGTTCTCATCCTTCTTCCCCCAAGAAAGCACTCCAACCATGTCCAGAGCGCATGGCAAGTGGATGGTTGAAACACCCACAATGCGGCTATATCTCCCACGTGTCGGGGCACGACTTAGAGGCATAGCCGCATGGTAGTTTTGTCGCAAGAGGGGTAATCTTCACACAATCCCATGTACTGAATAAGAAAGGGATAAAGAGTTGGCTTACACTCGCCACTTCACACAATACATAAATAATTCATACATCATCCAAATACACTCAAAGACCGACTACTGTCAAATCCGAATAAAACGGAAGATAAACTCTAAATGCTAGACCCCGATCGTCCTGACTGGGCTCCACTACTGATCATCAAGAAACGAAATGTAGTAACGACCCGGATCCTCGTCGAACTCCCACTTGAGTTCGGTAGCATCACCTACACTGGTATCCTCGGCACCTACAACTGTTTGGAAGTATCCGTGAGTCACGAGGACTCAGCAATCTCACACCCGCGAAATCAAGACTATTTAAGCTTATGTGTAGGAGAAGGTAGTGAGGTGGAGCTGCAGCAAGCACTAAGCATATATGGTGGCTAACATACACAAAGCAGAGCAAGAAGAGAAGCAACGCAACGGTCAAGAAGCTAGAAGTGATCAAGAAGTGATCCTGAAACTACTTACGTTCAAGCATAACACAAGACCGTGTTCACTTCCCGGACTCCGCCGAAAATAGACCATCATAGCAACACACACGGTTGATTCTTTTTAATTAAGTCAAGTGTCAAGTTCTCTACAACCGGATATTAACAAATTCCCATATGCCACATAACCGCAGGCACGACTCTCAAAAGTTTATACCCTATAGGGGTGTCTCAACTTAGCACATCACAAGCTCTCATGGTCAACAAAGGATATTCCTT